GGTCTGAGCCAAAAAAGGTCCCTTGAATGCAGTGAAGACAAGTGAGCCCAGAGCCAAAGCTTTGTAACCAACACAGCAAACAATTATCACCCCAAAAGACTCAGTCCCTTCTTCCTCAGTCCTCCATCCTCCCTTCCTTCATTCCTCCCGTGGCCCTCCATACCATTCTGGTTCCTAGGGATCTACCCATCAAATTTCTGTCTCTCAGGTTTGCTTGCATTCTCTAGAATTTCATCTGATGGAGATAATGCAGGGTCCATTTTGCCTATTTGACTTCTCTCACCAAACATTTGCATTTTGAAACCTGTCTGTGATAGGGAGTATAGCTATAGTTTCTATCTTTTTCCTGTTGAGGTGTGGCTATACTACAGATTAGTTATGCATTATACTACTACTGGATATATATTTGCTAGTTTTGCATATTATAAGGAAAACTGCTAGGAATATTTATACTTCAAAAACAAGTTTCATTTTAGTCAGTGTCTAGAATGCTTTAACCATATGCTCCCTGCCACATACAATAATATCTAGTTACTTTATTTTATATTTATTAAATATCTCCATGTGTTAAACATTATCATATTTACTGTTATTCTTTATTTAAATTTATCTATATTTTTTTACCATTCTTTCTGAAATTTCATGCTTTTCTTCTTGAATTATGCTTTTTTTCTCAAATATGAAATTTTTTTAAAAGTTAGGTGAAGTATATAGAGGTGCAAATTCCTTCAGTTTTTCACTGTGAAAAAGAGTTTTTTAAATTATGAATTATGCCCTTTATTGTTTTCTCTTTCTTTCATACTACTGGGATTGAGCCCAGAGCTTTTGCTCTGAGCTATACCCCAGTCCTTATTATTGTTATTTTTAATTTTTAAAAATTAATTAATTAATTAATTAGTACTTTTTAGTTATACATAATGATCACATTCATTACAGGGAGTTTGCACCTGTACATAACATATCTTATGTTATGGTTTTTTTTAGATTCCCTTAGCTTCTCTTTAGCCCCTCTTTCTCTTCTCATTTACAAAAGCTTCATTTACCTTTTTCCCTCTCGCCACCTTTTTTTCCCCTGCTTTTTTCCTTTACTGCTCCCCTTTATTAGCTTCCCTTCCCATTTGACCATTTTGATTTTATTTCCCAATGTCTATTGTATATTTTGGTCCTTATTTACACTTTCAGTTTCTCAAACCAGAGAAATCATGTGATATCTAAACATATATGTCCAATTTACTTTATTTAAAAGTACGGTATTTTTATTTTGAAACAGTGTCTTATTAAATTGCTGAGAGTGTCAGGCTGGGAATGTATAATCCTCCTGTCTTTGCTTCCAAAAGTACTGGAATTATGGACATGTATTGCAAATGCTCAGCTTTAGCCTTTTATTCTTAAAAATCTTTTTCTGACATAGAATTTTAAATTGGTGTGCATTTCTTTTCAAAATTTTGAAGTTACTGTTCTCCAATGTTCTCTGTCTCCTGATGTTGAGGGTAATTAATTAACTACCAGTGGTCTGGTCATCCATATGTAGGTAATGAGGTTTTGTCATTCCAGTTCCTATTTGAACTTTCTACATGATTTTCACAATCAGTAATCCAGTGTGATGTGTTTAGATGCATCCTTTATTTTATTTATGCTATTTGGAACTTATTGAAATTCTCCAATCTCAAAAATTATGTGAATTTGTCCTTTATATCTCTTTAAATACATTTTTCTTCCATTCCATTATTCGTATTAAAGAAATACAATATTTGGAACATTTATCTCACATATTTTTAACTTCTTTACATTTTAAACTGTTTTTAGGGAGGGATTCAATTTGCTAATTTTTCAGATCATATTTGTATCTAAATCCTAGTTTCTCTTTTCACTTAAGTCTTATTTGTTGTTTATTTAGTAAGTTTCAGGACAGTTACAATTTTGAATTTTAGAATATCTCATATGTGTAACTGAGGCCTATTTCTGATAGTCTTTTAAAAACAATTTTAGATATAAATCTTTATTTTTATAAGCATACATACTTACATGAGTTCTATGATAATTTCCTTTTTTTTTTTTTTTTTTGTACCAGAGATTGAACTCATGACCTCGTGCTTACCAGGCAGGCACTTATGCCACCGAGCTAAATCCCCGACCCATGATAATTTCAGTATCTGTGTTCTTTCCAGATTTGATTTCTACTTGTTCTCATTCATGGTGACTTATTTTTATACATGCCATATAATTTCTTTTGATTGTTAATTCATATTCTATAAAAAATTATCATTTGAGAACTCAGTACACATGTTCTGGGAAGATTCAGAGTAGTTTCAGCCTGGTATTCAATAATGCCAAACCATGACTTCACAATTTTCTATATGTAGGACTTAACATGCAACATAGAAAGAATGAATATTGCACCTAATTAAGCTTTAGTTTGTGCTTACACATTTTTTGAGGTAACATTTTTCCATTTACCTAGAGTTAGAACAAAATAGGTAAGAATTTCTACCACTTCTCTTCTCAATGAGGCACATATTTTGAGTCCAACTTTGTTAGGTCCTAAAAACTGATGCAATGTGCGTGTCTCTGTGTGTATTTCCTTTGTAAATTCAATTTTCACTACCATTTTGGCAAACATTTCCTTACCATGTTGCAATACAGTTGTTCTTTAAAATTTGCTTTTTATGACTTAATCCAGTGTTTTCCAAGGTTGCATAGTGGAAGTCTTTATGGATATCAAGTCACTATGTTGGAAATAGACTGGCAATACAACTTAATTCATATAAAATTGATAACTAAGCTAAGTATACATTAATTTTCACTACACACATGAAAATGTTTTTGTCTTCTGGATGATTTTGATATCAATCCTTAGAGATGTAGAGTTGGATACTCTGCTAAGAATACATCCTGCCAATTATCAAGGAATATGAAAGACAGTTAGACATCCAACTATTGAAGTAGATTTTTCAAATGACTTCACATTAGCCTGAGGATAAAGTTAAGCCCATGATGATGTCATATGTACAAAATGATAGATGGATAAATCATTATATGTATGCATGGGCAAATAAAACCACATGTATATGTTTAATTATATATAATTATATCTGTTTTATGTACATTATAATGTATACATATATTTGCATAATACATATTGAATTGTACTTAAGAATTCTGCCTGCTACAGTATATACACTTGAATTTCATCACTGATTGAAACTTGCCAGAGTCTACTATGCTTTGGTATCTGTGAGTGACATACAAGTCATTATTTTTCCTTCAAGACTTTTCCTTCAGGATGTGCATTAATAAGAACTTGCTCATGGTCTCAAATCTGAATTTGATAAAGAATGGTTGTTTGACTGCTACTTGCTGCTATGTTGGTATCCTTGCAATTATCCAGCAGATTGGCAAGAGAAAATTCCTCTAATGATTCTAGCTCAAACACTGTACCTGTTCCTATTGACAGACTTTGTTCCTTAGAAAAGATATGAACTGCCAGCTGGTTGTGACAGTTTGTGAACTAACACTGACATGTGTGTTGGCACCATAACAGTATTTACAGTTCAGGAAATATATACAGTCAGAATATGATGGTCCAAAGGTTTTTGAAGTAAAAAGAATAATGATATAAAATGATAAGCATGACCACAATAATAAAATAATTTTAAGAATAACTTGAGCACTTAGACTCTCTTGCAAGAAACATCTACTCTATGTGAAACATAGGGCATATGGTTTCAAAGAGAAACAATTTTTCCATGGTAAGAGATAAAGCAAAAAAAGTTTTTGAATGATATGAAATATAAACATAAACTATCATAGCATCATGAAAAAGATTAATGTTATATACTTGTCATTTTTCTTTTTCTAGACTCTTGTTTTTTTCTTTTCTTACACTCTTCTTCATTTTCCATGAATATCATGTGTTAAGGAGTCTATAAATTGTCACATTTTAACATAGTCACCTAGAATACTATGAGATATATATTTGGTGCATGTCTCTGCTTTCTGGAATATAGATCCTGAAATATTTGGCATATTCAAAGTGATAAATTTCTTTTCAATACTAATAGCTCAAGTGGTAGCTGGTAGCCTCTAGGTAACTTAAGGAATGGCTGGTCACCAGAAAGACCAAGCAGAATTAGAAAATGGGATTTTTAACCCCATCCCCATCCTCTTCCTTTGAGGAAGGAAGAGACTGAAGCTTAAGTTGATATAATTAATCATGGCCAATGATATAATTAATCACGCCTATGCAACAAAACTGCCACAAAAATCCAAAGGGACAGGGTTCAGAGAGGAGAGTTTCTGGGTAGTCAGAGAGTGACATGCTTACATTATGGAAGTTCCACTTTTACTTTTTAGTAAGTTGACCTAGGCAACAATGCCTTTTATCATCAAATCCTTTGTGATATTCTTTATAATAAATTAGTGAATGACAAATAATAGTTTTCCTCAGTCTGGTCTAGCAAGTTACTGAAATCTGAGAAGGGAAGGGTTTGGGAGAAACTTCAACTTGATCAGATGTAACACAATCTGGGCCTATCAGTTGGCATATGAAAAGAGTGGACAGTTTGGGGGGACTGAGCACACCCTCTGTGTGACCTGCTGCTGTCTCCAGGTAGATAGTTTCAAAACAAAATTGGAGGGCACAAAGTTGATATCCACTTCTCCAGAGTTGAATTCTTGCTGGCAGAGGAAATCCACTAACCTTTTGATGTCACAGAAATCTGTATTGTTTTGTGCAAATGGAAGGATGAAAAGAGGCTGGTTTTTTTTACACAACTCCAAAAGTTGTCAAGTTATTAACAAAGTGATTTAGAAGGCAATGATACGGAAGAACTTTTGGTGAATATTATTATCACATTTGGATATTATTTAACCTCCAGTGAATATTAGTAGGTAGAAGACAGACCAGTTCTCATTTTTGTCTCTGCTCTAATATTTTAGTAAACAATCAAGATGTCTTCATTATCTTTTTTTAAAATGAATTTCTTTAACAAGGTACTCACTGCTGTGGTCCCAGGGCAGCCTGGAGATTGGCATTTACCACTCATCCGGTTTGGAATCAAGACATCTTCCCAGCAAGATGGACCCTTTGAAAAAAAATCAACAATAAGCCCTTGGTATCCCAATTGCAATGCAAATGTACCTCTTAAAAATATTCTATGGTCTTTCCATTTATATTATTAGAGGGTAATTAAATAAATGTGCAGACCAGTGATTTCAAGATGTGGTCCATGGAACCCAAAGACTATAGATGCCTCTGGGGACCTGCTAGGTCAAAACCATCATCACAAATACATAACATTTTATTTGGCATTTGACTTCAAACATATTCATTATCCATTCATATACTTTCTCCAGAACCATGTTTATACCTTACTGTAGCAAAAAGGCCATCCCCAGAGCTCAGCCAAGCCTATCCGTCAGATCTGCCAACCTGCCTTTGTGTCACAACAGTTATTCCTACTAAATATGTGGCAAAGTGACAAAGCAGTAGCTGTTTTTACTCCCTATGAATACACCTTTGCAACGGCAGACTCGATCTGTTCTATTCGCATAGCATCTTAACACCTAGGGAGGGACCTGGCACATAGAATGTGCTTGACCACCTCTTCTGATAATCAGAGAAACAAAAATATAAAGAGCAAGAGTTTTTAATTAAATCAAAAAAGAATACTTAAAAGTATAATATTGTCAGTTAATGCATTACTTTTGGAAAGCAAGCCAACAATATATATAAGAATTCTTTTTTTAAATTAATTAATTTTCTTAATTAAAGATAAAAAGATAAAAATATAGATATATGATATAGAATTTCAAAAAATATGATATAGAATTTCAAAAAGTAGGAAATTAACACTAGTTAATATATTGCGTGTCCTTATTTTATTTTTTAAATTTTATTTAAAGAAGAGAAAATAAAAAACAAAATAGAAAAAAGTACAGTGCAGAATTAAAAATTAACATTATAAAATTGCTAGTTGATATCATCTTAACAATAGTTGTTAAAGTTAGAAAATCAAAGCATAAAAAGTGGGTAGGCACTCAAACACTGACAGTGCAATCGCTTATGTTCAATGATCTAATATGGTCATTTAGTAATATGCTCATCTATCTTACACACTGTACATACTTTTATATCCTTTAGAGCACTTTCCTTCCCTTTCACTTTTACAATATCTATCACACTTTTTGGATCCCATTATTATGTCAGTTCTTACTATTTTTTATACTAGAGAAACAATGTGATATTTACTAGTGTGAGTCTTGTTAATTGCATATCTTTATTTTAGAAATAGTGGTTCAGGTTACAAGATTTAACTTGTTTATAACGTTTTTTCTAAATCTCAAGAAATCTATACTGACTGTCTTACAGTTACTTTTCTCATTACTGAGACAAAATATCTGACTCGCAGAGTTACAGGAGGAAAGGTTTATTTCGCGTAGTGCATAGAGATTTCATCCCATACTTGGCTGACTCCAAGGCAGGGTGGTAGGGCAGAGGTACATCACAGAGGACAAATAGTCCAGAGCAAGCAGGCAAGTGGGAACAGAAATCAGCAATCTAAGTGACTTTATCAGCTTGTTTCTACCTCTTTTATATTCTATCTAGACTACTGGGTTTAGGTGGGTGCCAAACCAATCAGTGGACTGATTTAGTAATCACATACCCTTAATCTCAGTATTACACAATTTTATTGCAGCCACCTCTGAAAAAGCTCTACCATGACAAAATGAAGTTTTGGGGAGACATCTAGACACAAGCCATAACACTGGCTAAAAATGCTAAGAGCATTAGGTATTTTATTTACAGCTGTTTTGGGAAGCTGTTTTTGGAAACACTCTGGATGAGCAAACAAATATCCACAACTAAATCAAATACTACATAGTAACTATAATTGATAGTTCTTATACACTAATAATATACTTTATTTGGTGAAAGGAATACAAACTTCAGTTAAAGTAGAAGTTCAACTATAGTATGTAAGTGTATAAATAAGATACAATTTGTGTCTTTCAGGGTAGTAGTATCACTACTGATAAGTGTTTAAAAATCATTTAACTAATGGTTTTCTTAAATTTATTACAATTTTAGTTGATGGTTCGTAAATGAAAATACATATGGAAATTACATTCAGAACCCTCCATGCGGCAATGTGGAGTATGTATAAACTTCCCTCGTTACCTTGTTCCTATCTGGTGACAAAGAAACCTCTTGTTTCTCCTAATGAACCTTTTAGACTTATCCTTAAAAACAAACAATGTTAGCCAGACTTAGAGTGCACACACTTGTAATCATCACACTCTTAGAGGTTGAAGTATGAGGATTTTAAGTTTAAGTCCATCCTGGACAGCTTAGTGCTTTAGGGAAACCCTATCTCAAGATGGAAAAACAAATAAAAAAAGAATATAAACCTCAATATAAATTTTTTTATCAAATTCTCAATTATGCAACAAAATTGCCATTATGTAAACCTATAGTATCAATGACAATGGAAGAAATCAGTGATTGAAATTTCCACACTTTTCGGGAAATGTGCAATAGGCTACAGCAAAGGATAGGTGACTTTGTAGCTCTGATAGAAGGACAGAGGAGAGAAGTTGGGTAGAGCATCCAGCAGATGTGGTTTGAGGGCAGTGATTGGCATGAAGCAGAAAGAGGAACAGTGACTATGACATTATGATTATGACACATTCAGACAGAGGCAACGGTTCATGATGCAGGAGCTAACTCAGACATCAAGAGTTAGCACAAGGACCATTTCTGCTTCAGGAATCATCTGAGAAGAGCCTAGCCATTTAGCACCAGAAACTAGTGAAAATTCTGGGGAATGCTTTCAAGGAACCATGTTTGTTTCTTTAGGTCTGCATGCATGAACCATACCTAATTCAACAGCACACATGCAACACATATCAATGTGTACTTACATATACCCTCACATAATACATTATACACAAATATACATATATATACACTACAGAAGAGCATGCAAAAACAGAGAAAATGTGAAGGCTGGGTTCCACTTGAAAGAAACTAAGCCACTCCATAGAAATAATTCAACCCCAGCCTCAAAGAGACCCTGAATCTGAATTGACAGATCATTAGCCCAAAATCCACTGGTACAGCAAACCTGAAGTTGCTATTGTTAGAGAGGACTGTTTTCAAGGTTGGCCTCTGACTGGTATTTGGAAAGTTGGATTTTACAAGTATCCCCACCACTTCCTTCTAGCAACCAGCTACAGCTCTAGATGATCCTGTGAGGGTGGGGGGAGGACAGTGAGAGGGTAAGAATATAAAGATGAGACAAAAGCTGGAGTCACGTGGAGCCCTTATGCTCCTGATGGGAGAAAATAACAGTTCCACCACTGTAGCACATTTATTTATATACTTCGTACAGACCGAAGAAGAACATCAATTTCAACTCCAATGCCTAGCAACTCGTTTGCCTGGCTAGCCTGGGCTCCTTGTCTTCTTGGAGATGGAACAGCTTGTTTACATGGCTTTTTTGGGGGTGGGGGAATCTGTTTTTTCAGAGCTGGTCTTGCTTTAGCCTCACACATGTGATCAATGCCCAGCTTCAATGGCTCCTATAGGGAGCCATAGTGGTTTGTGGAGCCTTAAGCTATTTGGACAAATTAGATGATTTGTGTCTGATGCCTTCCTCACTGGGAATCAGAGTTTTAATGAGCACTGAGCAGAGATGCCTATACAAAAAGCCCCAACTGAAACCCTGGGCTATGATTTCCTAGTGAGTGTGCCTAGAAGACACTTTTCACTTGTGGTTGCTGCTTGTGATGGGAGTAATAAGTGCCTCCAGTGAGATCCTTATAGAGAATCCCTTGGCTTTCTCTGGTCATATGTTTGTGTACGTATGTAAACATGACTGTACAATACCTCTGACATGTGCATGATTACATACCCAGTCCTGTTAGTTTTTCTGGTAGCTCTCCAAGTCTAGAGCTGTGCATCAGTCTTGGAAGCCAATGACACAACAACACAATGTCATAGAATTAGTCAGCAAGGCTATGTTCTACCAGCCTCAGAGGAGAATCAGGGCTCATTAAGACAGCATCAGTTACAAAGGATAAGAAGTTCTAATTTCTTTCTTTATCTCACAGTCTTAATGATGGTTGTAGAACCAAAGGTATGCTACTCTGCTTAGGCAGTGTAAAAGTAAAATACAAGTACTTACACTGGGAAGACAGCCAGGGCTGGTAACGCAGGCCTATAGACCCAGCAATAAAGGAGACTGAGGTTGGAGGATTACAAATTGGAGCCTAGCATGCAAAAGCCCTGGGTTCACTCTCTCTGTTAGTAAAAAAAAAGAAACTGAAAGAAATAGAGAGAAGGAGGAACTGCAGAAAGAGAGAGAGAGACAGACAGACAGACAGAGCCAGGGATTTAGCTCAGTGGTGCAAGGAGGGGATTAACACTCTTACACGATAAGCAGGTATTTCTATTACAAAACCATCTAGATATCTAATTTTTCTTAAATGGGCATATATTCACTTGGCAAAATTGCAAATATCTTAAAATAAAAGAGTGGTAAAGCAATGAGATTTAGAACTTTAGTTACACTTATCAGCCTCAGTTTTTTACCTTAAGCTAAGAAATTAAATAGAAATGAATACAGCCATAATATATTGATACAATCCTGCTTCAATACTTTTATGAAGATTTGAATAGTACATCTTGCATATTTGTTTGTTTTATTTTCTATTTTGGTGTAGGTAATAGTTACATCAGATTTGTCTCATTTTTGACAATTAAAAAATATTAAGAGTCCAATCTGAGGACCATTTCTAGCAACATTACACAGATCATCATAACACTTGACCCTTGATTTTACCATCTAATTTAATATATCTTTAGTTAGTCTCTATATCTTCAAGGTTGCCACATTCTTTAGGGTCAAATTCTAGTTAATGATCTTGTGATTTTCCTCTCTTCATTCTAAAAACCACTAATGACTCCATCAGGAGCAACTTCTGTCCAGGAATCATAGCCATTTCTTCTAAGGGAACAAAGATATCTCCAGCCAGACTACTGTGTTGGGCTGTGGGTCTCAAGCTGTGGCTGGTGCTGATT